GGGAAGCGGGTCATCTCTGCTGCTGCGAGTCCTGGCCTTTCTATCTTTTGGGGGGGGGGGGGCATGGGTTGAGGGGACTGACCTTTGCGCGAGAATATTGTAACCCGTCCACGTATAACAAGCTTCCTCGTCAGTTGCGGTCCTGTGAAGGTAGACATTTGTAAATTTCCCTGTGGGCGCCCCCGTCCCGTGTGCAGACCCAGCATGAGAGAAGCATTCATAGCGATGGCCACATACGAAGACGACGGGTCACTAGAGTTGTTGGCCGAGGGAAACGGCCATGCCGACAGAACGAGTAGGGCGTTGATGGCGGGCAGGTCGAGGGGCGGCGTCATGGCAACGGCCCAGACCTCTCGCGGGAGGTTCTGCGCCAGGAAGGAGAAGAGCTCTGCATCGCAGGCGTAGGCGCGACAGGCGACGGTTATGATGGTCCAGAACAGGATAGGACTGGCAGCGTAAACCCTGTTGGGTTCACGAATGCGCACGATGGGAAAGTAGGGGTGAAAGTGCTTGAAGTATTGATCAAAGTAGTACTCGACTTCCTCCCCGGGGAGGACTTTGGAACCCAGCGCCCTCGGCTGAGTGGGCTGGCGCGGTTCAGACGTTGGGGTCAAATAGGCCTCTGTTGCTAGTGCGAGCCGGGCCTCACCTTCGGGGTTCTGGGGAGATGGCAAAGTTGGCAGTGGTGCTCTCGGCCGCTTAGGGAGGGATGAATAGGTTGTGGGGCTGACGTCTGGAGACGGCCCCGACGCCGGCCCTGTCAGTCGGCCGTGCGGAGTCGGACTCGGCGTCAGCCCCGGCGCATTTTGCACGGCATTTTTTATGGTGAGCATCTCCTTCTCGAGCTCCTCTAGCTTGCTAACAGAGAGCATAAGTCAGTGGTATTTCGCTATGAGATGCAACGGGAAAGAGCTCGGTGCTGCCCTCGACCGCTCACACACCTTCGTCGCGTCGTGCGCTTGTGCGACCTGTCCACCACGCACTGGATCCCAAGCTTGCAACAGCGGTGACATGACTGATCAGGCGCCGAGCTCGCGTTGCATTTGACCTTGAATGCATCATATCAGCAGGACTGCACGACCTTCACAGCAGGAGGTGTAGAGCCGCCCTGCCGTGGGAGCACAAGCCTGGGCTAGTCCGGCGCATTGTCTCTGCAGGGAAGATGACTGCTGATAATAGTTGATGGCAAGAAAACATACCTGGAGTCGCGGCAGCTCGTGCAGGCCGTATTCCGCCTGACCCTTGTCGGCGTCGGGTCCGGCACCGAGGAAGCTTTGTCGGACATAGGGGTCTCTACCTCGTATAAGCTAAGGTAAGGAGGAGGTACCTAGGTAGGTACTTAGCCGCACCAGGCTACGGAGGCGAAGTCGCACCTCAAACGACCGCTCTGGATGTTCTCCCACTGACTCAGGAGGGCTGAGAAGTGACAATACAGGAGCAAGAGACTACCAAAGGCTTGGTCCTCCGATCAACTATATTCAAGGGCTCGATTGATCGCATTCGCGGCGCCCGGAACATCATAAGGCATCAACCAGCGTCGGTGCCGAATCGGCAAAGTGACGGTCACGTGAGTTCTGTCTTACCATGATCAGTCTTGACGCCAACACTGCCACACTTGTGGACTACGCACTGCATAATCCTTCAAGGCTCCCATCTTCCTGCAGCCTTCAGTAGTATTCCAATACACCAATCATGTCCATGTTCCTCGCAAACATGATCTTCCTAACAAGTCTGGCATTGCATTCAGTTGCTGCCTGGAATAGCCCGCATATTGCCCCAGCGTCATCCTACAACGCCTCCCATTCCTTGGTCACTCCCCACCCAGGATATTGTTCTTGTACAAGACGCCGAAATGATCAAACCCGTGACGCCGAAAATATAGAACTTGTTCAGTTCGTTCTGGCCCCAGCCAGACCTGCCGATGGCCAACTTCCCTCCTCGTTTCCTGCCAACATGGTCCACGGGTCCACCCCCGACGGTCCAATCCCGGCCCCAGCAGCCCCGGCTGCGCCTAGCGGCATGTCTCCCATGTTGTTCTCATCAGGCGAGAACATGAATGAGCTTGGCATGCCGAAAGCGCCTGAGAACGAAGGTGGAACTGCCGACGTGAGAGGCGGAAGCCCTTCGTGGGTCAGCGAACCGACACCCGTGTCTTCGCCCTCCACGAACCCCATGCTCGGGCCAGGCGTCTCCCCACTCGTGGCCTGGGAGGGTGTGCTGATATTGTACATCGAAGGTGATGCCGTTGTGCTTGTCCTATGCGGCAGGACGACTGGCCTTGTGTTGGCGCGGGGTGCGATACCCGTGGCGCGAAGCAGACCGCTGCCGTACATGCCTCGCCCCGACATGCTAAAAGATTCGTGGGTGCCCACGTCGTTGAAGTTGATGTTGTCGTACTCTGAACCCGGGTCCTCGGGAAATTGTGTGGGTTGTGCCGGCCGCTTCCTCTTGCCCTGCGCGTCTTGCGCTGGATGCGGCAGCACATCGCTGAACCCAGGCGGATCATTCAGCTCTTCCACGCCCGAGCCAGACTGTCCCGGGCAAGCATTGGATGGGTGGCGGTTGCCGGGAGGCAATCTGCCCGAGAGCGGTGGCTGGATCCCAGTGTGCTTCGTCAGATAACTCTTGACGAGCAGGGGAACATTGGGAGACGACCATCCGAACGCATTCCTGTGGTTCGCCAAGCTTGGCAAGTTGATGACAGAGGCTAGACCGTTCATCTCGATGTCGGCGCAGATTTGTTGCAGGAACGCCTGCGTGATGAGATGGTTTTTGGCAATAGATTCCATGGCGTTGATCAAGAATTCAAGGTTATTAAAATCAGTGCGCGAGAGCCCGGACTGCGGGCTTATCTTGACGATGTAGACATAGACTGATACGGCACAGTACATGGACAGCGCGGCGAGAGGGCTTTTCTGCAAAGCCGTTAGCAGTGACAGACACGAGCGGACCGACAAGGCACGGCGGGGTAAACATACAAACCCGGGGCTCACATGACTCGATAGCCGGACAATGTTAACGATCTCCTCTGCCGCCGTTCTCAATCGTGATTGGGACGCGATACGCAAAGACTCGGGTAGATTATAGGTTTCGACCTTCTCGACGGCGGCATGGTGCAGGCAAATGATACCGGCATGTAGGTTGAGGTTGGTGTGCACGGCTGTCGGGTTCCGCAGGTTTTTCGGTAGGCGGAACTTTTCGGGCATGAACATGAATGCACTGGAGATTATGTTATCAAGCTCTCGGTGTTTGTGCCAGAACCCTCCAAACTCAACGTCTTCCGGGCGGTCTGTTGCCTTGGTTCGGTGAACATGCCGTAGAATCTCGTTGAAAATGTGGCATATGATGATCGCGCCCGAGAACGTCGAGTACCAAGCCCCAGAGAAAGCTTCTGCTAGACTGGAGGTCCTCTCCTCGCGGCACTCGTTGAAGGCTTCTTCTGAAGAAGGCAGGTTTGTTGTGATCTGGCATCATAGTTTAGCACTGAGACCAGCAGGGTACACTGAGACCAGCAGGGTACAATGCTGTCAAAGAACTCACATCGTGGGGATCGATCAACGTCGGCCACCCAGTAGATATACTTGCGTGGCAGTCAATCGTGAAGACACCCCAAAACACTCTGCGGCGCTCCTCAACGTCCGTCCAGTCCTTGGGCGGCGCCAGTGTAGGAGCCATGTCGTGTCCAGCACCGTCAATTCGGTGCAGGCCCATCATCTCTACAAGACGGACTGCCTTGGCCGAACTCATGGCAGCTCTAGTGAAAAGCATGCTGCGCGCCTCGGTCATCGCAAGAAGTCCCCATGTCTGGGCGTGAGCTATCGTGACAAAGTGTTCGCCATAGCCCTGGAACGAGTGAGCTTCTACTCGCGTACCAAAATTGCATTGCTTTTCAGACATACCCGCATCTCATCATTGTCCGCATATTGTCGAGCACGCTTGTAGAACACGTCATGATATTGCGAATACTTCTCATGACCACTAGACGCTGTCGCCCAGATGGCATACTGTAGGCACATGGGGGGCCTTTTATGCGGTACCGAGTAAAAGGCCTGGAAATACCGTCCCGGATGAATCATGGGAAGAAAAGGGTGCTGACGCTGAAAGTATGTGTTGTTCCTGGCCACATCAGCATTGGTTTGTTCAAGAAAAACATTCCAGGACTTACATTTCCTCCATCAACTCAAAGGGGGGCAGTGGCTCCGTTAATCCAAGCGCCATCAACTCCCCCGACGGCACGAACGTTGAAGGCACCTCAAGGCCTGGAACAGCCGCATTCTGCAGCAGGCTTTCTGATCCTGGGATGGAGGCGCGATGTTTTGCCATTTCAATATCAGGATCAATGAGGAAATCATCAAAGACCCCTGTCGGCCATTGATCTTGCGGAAGGTTGGCCCAATTGGCGGGATTGAATGGCCTTGTGTTGCTCTCCTTGAGAAGACCTTCGACCTGAGCTGGAGGGAGTGAGTGAACGATTCACCAGGACTGCGAAAAAGGGGCAAGGCGATGAGATACCTAGCCTCTCTTCCAGCTCTCTCACATTTCTTCGCTTGAAGGCCGGCTTTCTCCTCGACTCAGGATATATGCAGTCGCCATTGACCTTTCGACAGCGACTGCACGCAGGCCTCACTCTGTCGCATTTCAATTTGCGAGACCGGCAGGTCACACAGGCCAGAGACTCGGGGTTCTGGATCCCGGCTCCGGAGCCTCCTAGCTCAGCCGGGGCAGTGTCGTAGTTCATCGCGGCACGGACACGGAGCAAATGCCAAGGCGGTCGAGTCGGGGGATGACGGCACAGAACGCAGGTTGCCCACACACGGAAGGCAAAGTTCAGGAGGGAGAGCAAGGAAACGCCAAAGCCGTCATCGAGTCGTCAACAGGCATAAACGCCTCGCGATGACTGCTGCAAAGCAATGGGCAGGCATTCTGCTTCCGGTACGTACTGCGCGTCCGAGTGCGGAAAAATGTTTGACCGAGAAACGACACTGCGAAAGTGGAGACAGAAGCGGCGGTTTCTGTAAGTCTATGACGACGTTGTCCGAGCTTAATCACACAGTCAGCGATGTCCGGAATGGGCTCAACGCTGTCAAAGGCCAACACAAGACGCCAGACCTTTGAAAAGTCTTTTACCTACGCTTCAGCTTTCAAACCCTCAACTCGTATCTTCATGATCAAAGGCCACATTCTTGAGCGGGAACCCACATGTGGCGTATGCACTGAGCGTCACTTGGGTTCTCACTGTGGTAGCACTCCTGGCTGGCTGTGTGCCTTCATTGACGTTTGCCTCGGAAAAAGGCGACAGCAACCGGATTGGCAGAGGGTCCTACTTTAGTCCCGACGATCATTTGATAGAGCTTCTTCATTTTTTGCACAGCCTTCCAACCAGAGCATAGGCATTTCAAATCGAAATTCATTGAATGGACCGCCAAGTTGAGATCGCTGAATCCTGGTGTTATCCCGGGTCGGGCTTTTGACCTCTGTGCCCGTTTAATCGGCTCTGTGGTCCTTGCCGAGCCGCTGCTCACTTGTCCAATCCTGTCAGGGCCAGAGAAAGTCTAGGACATTAAGCCGTCGGGTTCCTTCTTGACCTGTACACTCGGAGGACGACTGTCATGAATCGAGGCGAGCAGATCATCCGTCAAGACACGACGCTGTGTGTGGTCAACTCGGCATGTGCCATGACGGAAGGTTTCCGAACCACGGCGACCCGTGACGTAGCAGCAGCTAACGTGGTGCAGGTGTGATTTGAGATGGACAACCGCCACTGCCTTGGATCCCAGGTTCTGCCAAGCTAAAGCTAGAGAGGTTAGATGTAGAGAGGCAAACGCGTTCGCCGCTAGTACGCCGGCCGGCTAGCAGCGCCCCTTTCCCTCCCTAGGTCATGGCACCGGGACAGTGAAAAGGCCACCCCAGCTCAATACCGGATGAGGGCCGGAAACAATTGCCCACGGTGGGTGCTTGACAGCCACGAAGAGCCCGTCTTGTTCTAGCGCACATGAGGCGGATGGCCAGTTTCGGCCTGGGTCCAAGAGGAGTCGACACCAAGGCTTCATATTGGCGACTCGTCGGACGGGTCTGGTCTCGTTGCTGGTCAGAAGCCCCCTCAGCTTGTCGGTTGACACGAGGCGGCGTCATGTTGGGGCTTTCCCTAGGCGGCCAGGCGGAAGCAAGTGTGTCCTAAATGAGACAGTCTCGATGAGACATTAGTCCCAATGGACTGCTCGACGAGTCCGTGTTAGGCGACGGGCCATACTGGCGGGCTGGTTCTGACGCCTGGTTTGGACGTAGCGCGCGGGGCCGAGCCGTACGGTGAAAGAGGGCTCCAAGCGGGGGCGGCGAATCAACAACGGAGGACGGCGGGCTAGCCAGGCGTGGCGCCCAAGTAGAACAGGTGCGGACTCGAAAAACTTGTCGTCAAGCGGCATCGACATCTGGGATGTGTGGTGGTAGTGGGGGGCTGATCTTGGATCACCGGCGTGAGGCGTTCGGCAGGGTCAGCCCGGCGACCTTGTTAGCTGGCCGCTATGGTAGGAAAGAGATCACTGGCAACGCCTGGGCGCCGAAAATCGAAAACGCACAGGCTCTCGAACCAAGGTTAGAGATGTAATGAGAGGAGTCTGGCTGGGGCTCCAAGTGGTTTCACTGAAAAATCACGATGGCCGATATGCTGTCCTCCTTTCGCATACCAAACACCCTGTGGAGGGTCTGGGGTTGGGAGGGCTAAACCCGCCGGCGGAAGCCAGGGAGGGGGGCTTGATCGAGGCTGTGGCTGAGGGAGAGCACAATCTTGATTGTCGCGGCAAACCAGGACTGATTCGACACATGATTGACGCGACTGCTTGGTATCCAGGGGATCGACGGCCGAAAGGCGAAGATAGCCAGGCCTGGGCCTTGGGGAAGCTGGGGTTTAAGTGTGTAGAGGGTACGGTGCGCATGGCGTTCCAGGTGTATCAGGACAGAACTGCTACCTACCGGGTATCCTGGCTGCACTGGGGATCATCCCAGCTGCGTGATGGCCTTGGGCCATACATTTTTACCCTGTCAATGCCATTTTGTCATGATAGTTGATCGCGAAGGACACTGTTTCGGATACACGGCAGACGGCGCGAGTAGGCGAAGAGCGTGATATCACAATCTCTCCCCGGCCCGTCCCAAATAAAGCCCTGTTGGTTGAGCCATACTAGGAAACAGGCCTGGGGGCAACACCGAGGGGGGAGGAGGGGAAACGTGCATGTCGCGCACCTACGGCCAGGAGAGCTTCGTGCCGCCCTGTCTGCTGGATACGACCTCTTTGTGCTGGTTGTTGAGGTAGTTGTGCAGAGGTGGGGTGGGGTAGCTGGCACTCGCGTGATGAAGCTGCACCAAAGATGAGACGAGGGGCGACAGCTGTCATATCTTCTCGAAGGATGAGAGTTATGCAAGCTTGTTTTCAAGCCCATCTCTGTAGGGCAATGCCAAGGACGTGGTCGAAAGGCAAAGCGGCCGAGACGCGAGGCAGAGGCGTGGATGTGACCGAGCGTTGCCCGCTTTGCCTCTTGCTAGGTGGACGGACTCGGGGCAGAAACGACGCCAAAACATCCAGGATGAGGGCAGAAATTTCCGACATTTCGCACCGTCGTGGAATTAGCGCAGAGGTTGTTTTGGTGGTTAGGGTGGTAGAAGGGGGCAAGCTGGTAAGGCAGGTTGTGACGCACGATGGGTCCAGCTTGGGTGGGCGGACGGAGGTCAACATGGGAGAAATAACACTTTCCGATGTGTCGTGTTCGCCGTGGCTGGGGGCAGATCGGCTAAGAGCGGGCATGATTGGGTGGAATCCAACGCGGCGACTCGGGCCAGTGCCCAGGGTGCCTGCCCCAAACACCCCCAAGTACCGCGCCTTCAAACGATCGCCGCCGTTCACGCCCCCCTACCCCCCCCCCCACCCTGTCCTGCCCTGTACCGATTGTCCTGAAATGCCCTGAAAGCCCTGATCCGCCGGCCCTGATTCACGGCCGGTGCCCACCGTGGCCCTGCCTGCTGCCCTGCCTGGGTAGGAAGAACCCGTCCGTCCACTGTTTCCCTCCATTCCCCTGTTGGTCAGGAACGTCCCACACCC